ATTTTGCACTGGAACTGGCAGCCGTTGTCGTGGAATGCCAGTGTGATGTACGGACTGGGAGCTTTCTTAGTGCGCTCCTTACCCTTCTCTTCTGACTCGGCTGCGGCGGGAGCCTGAGCTGGCCCCGAGCCTCCAGGAACGGTGCTTGTGTTGCTCGAAGTCCGTGACAAGTTGGGAGTATCCTCTGCATCGCTCTGGTTATCAACCAGTGGAATCTTCCGCTTCAACTGAGGACTGGAGTGTGCGTGGGAGGAGCTGGATGTTGCCCCATTCGAGTTGGACTCGGCCTCGTCTATGGCTTTTTGGTACTCCGCTGAAGTCAAGCTATAGGCTATCACTGAACTGAGATCGTTCTCCCGCACGTGGATGGGAAAGCTGCCCAGTGGAAGCGTCAGATGATCCTGGGCGGAAAAAGGCGACTGCAGCGGATTAACTTGGTTGGTAGAGGGAAGTAGTTGGGTAAGGATCTTCCGAATGGATTTTTTGTCGGAGTACACGTTCACAGTGGAAGCCAGCAGCTGGTCAATGGAGAACTTCTTGTCCACAACCGTTTGGCTGCTGGACACCGATTCCGTATCCTCGCCGGGGCACTCCAGGGGATCATTTTCTCGTTGCGGATTCGAGCTTGAAGTTTTGGAGTTATCCCCGCTAATGGGGGGAGTCTGGTCTGGACGCAGCTCCTCCGTGCAGATGGTGCCAGAGTCAATGTGGTGGGCTTGTTTCGCGGACAGCTTCTCGATCTCCTGCAGCCGGGGACCCCATAATTCGATGCTCTCTGCCAGAGCTCTCCTGGCCATTGCCAGGGAATCTTTAATATCATAAGCGCTGGCCTTCGGATCCGTCAGCACACTGTGCACAATCTCAATCTTCTGCTTGAAGATGAACTGGTCATGAGTGAGTGTCGTTTTCAGGTTCTGGACCAGCGGCGAGTTCTCCTCCTCGGTGGCCAGGTCGGCAATGCGTTCGTGAATCCTGGTATACACCTCATGTCCGCTCACTGAAAAGTTCTTAATTTCCTCCTGGACTTGGTGGCTGGGAAGATGTTTAGGAACATCCAATTGCAAGCTCAGAGAGGGCAGATCTGTTTCCCACACCTCGACTGGTGTGTACTGGAACTTGGCACCCACTCCCCGAAAACTGAAGTGATGCACATAGTCCCGATGCAGCGAATGCTCGCAGGGACTGCCACTCTGTCCAGCTTCGGGCAGCGGTGGCCGTCGTTTGTAAGCGTGGCCATGGAAACGCATCTCCAAGTATTTGGCCAACGAAAGGCATCTTGCGGACTCTGACAGCGGAATAGTTGGGGTCGTGGCATTGCAGATGCTGCACCAGGAGGTGAAGTATATGCGCTGCGGATCAGAACAAGTAGAGTCCTCGGTGAGATAAACATGTACGCAGCCCATTGAATGGACATAGCGACGCACATGCCCCAGCATGGGTAGATTACAAGAGGGGCACATCGAGTTGAAGAGGCAGCAGTAACGCTGCAAAAATTGCTCCAGCATGATGTCGTACTGACCATAGAACTTCATATCCAGCAGCATGGGTAGTTTGCAAAAGGAGGACACACCCTTGGGATTGTAGTGGAAGCTGCAGAAGAGCACCGGAAGCCTTTGATGGTTTTGCGGATCCAATGCATCCTTGTACAGTTGCTCCTCGCTCACTTTCTGGGGTCTTTGAATCACATCTCCATTTTTCTTCTTTGGTCGCAGCACTAAAAGTTAGAGGATTTCAGTAAAATAATATTTTAAAATATAACTTTGGACTTACTGGGAGCCTTGCCTTTGGGAAATCGTCCTCCAAACGATCGGAACTCAGCCAGCTTTGTTTGAATGTCGCGATTGTTCGCTGGAGCTGTTATCTTCATCTTCACAAAGTCGTGGGCTGGCAGAAGCTTCGTCTGGGTCGACTCCTTGTTGGTGGGCTCCGATTTTCCAGCCTCACTCTCGCCCAGGCTTTCTGGACGCTCCAGATTGGACAACCCCGATCGAGACCACTGTTTGGAGAAGTAAAGCTCGGCAGGAAAAAGATTCCTTAGCTTGCACTTGCGCCCTTGCTCCGTTTCCAAGTAAGGAAGAGGAAACGTCAGGAAGGGACTAACCGACAGTATTGTGGAACTAAGTGCCGTACGGAAGCGGTTGTCATATCGAGGCTCCACGGCTAGGGCTTCCACCACTGGTGGTGCACAGGGTGATGTTGCCAACGCCTCTGCCTGAGTTGCCCTTAGAGGATCTGTGAAATCAGCAACATTTTCACTAACAATGGTGGTGATCTTATCCTCCGATTTACGCTCCATTACTGAAGGTCTCTTGGCACGGAGCTCTGCCTCGGTTTCCTCCTTGGGACTCGCCTCTTTAGAGTCGAAAATCGAAGGCTTGGGACTCAACGGCTGAGCAAACTCGTTCAACAGGAAGGACATCTCCAGTCGCCAGTTGTACCGGGCGAAGAGAAGCGCCGAAGCCACACGCTTGACCCGGGTCAGCTCAGCATTGCTACCGCCTCTTAGAAGGCAGGTGTAGCCACGAGGATTCGTGAGCTTTTCAAAGAACATCAAGGTTTTGCCGTTGTAGTTGCGTATGTAGAAATTATTGCATAATCCTAGCTTGGGCATGGTTATATTCGATTCAATGGAGCTGACGATGTCGCACTGCAAGGTGCGCGCCAGTCGCTCCATCACAGACAACTTTACATCCAGGACTAAGGTAACACCATACGATCTAAGCAGGTCCTGTGCTATTCCAGCTACGTTCTTGTGCACCAGCACCACATTGGGATTAAAGCTCATGATGCGGGCGCACACATTTCTTAAGTACTCCTTCTCCTGCAGAAGGACCGTTTCGATGGTCACAAACTTGCCTTCAATGCGCTCGTAAACTATGGGGCACTGCAGCAACAGAATGCGAGGATAAGCCACTCGGGTAGCCATATCCTTATGAGCAACGTTCTTGGAGAAAGCCACTCCGTGGACAATGGTGGAGTCCTTGCGCCTGCCACCAGGAACCTTCTTGAAGTTAACATAGTTCCGAATGTCCATCATATCGTTGGTGCAGTGTTCCGGCTTGAAGTGATTGGCAGCTGTGGAGCACAGCATCTGAAGCACTTTATCCCACTCCTGGTCCAAGTGATGAGCTCGCAAAAGTTGAGCCAGTAGCTGGTCCTCATGCTCGCAATAGGATTCCAAAAGCTTGGAAGTTGCTGTGGTAAAGCACAGGTCGTTCTCCAGATCTTTATCCTGTTCTTCAGCAGACTGATCCATGGATTTGGGCGGCTGTGGTTCCGCATGCAGAGAAGTCTCAAACTGCGGGCTCATGGATTGGGACGTCTCCAAACTGTTCTTGGAGAACTTGTAGTGCAAGGTCGATTCAAAATCCACCTGCTCCGGATCGGGAACAATGGGCTCCAGGAATCCAGCTGCCAGCATGGCACTTAATATAGCCACAGCTTGTATTTCGTTGGCTGATTTGTTATTGCTGATGAGAAATTCGATGAGACTCTGGCCACAATTCTGGGCAGGCAGAACTCGCTGCATCTCCTCGTGGAGCGTAATCAAAGAATTGGACTGCTGCAGGATGTTCTTGCGATCGTCGATGGACAGAGTGGTATAGTTGGGATGTGAACTGAAGCGCTCTTCCTGGTATCCCACCGAGGTTTTCCGCGAAAGTGGTGCCCTCTGTTGCTGCGGATTGTTCGCATGTGGTGTTGCCTTGTCCTGAACCTCTAGTTTGTTGGTCAAGTGCTGCTGCAGCACCTGAAGATCCTGGCCCATTTCCGAACTGGAGGACTTGAGAAAGGTGAGCACTATTTTGGAGCAGTAGTTGCACACCTTCAGGTCGCCATCGCAGCGTATGATCATGCCGGGCACAACCTGGTTGCAGCATTTCGAGCAAAAGATCTGCCCACACAGGCGACAGTGGTGCTTGCGCCGAAATGTGGAAAACTTCTGCGAGCAGTCGTAGCATTCTTTGGCCTTGGAGTCGGGCATCCAGAAGCGCTGCAGCTCAGTGTCCCTGTAATTCCTTAGGTCCTGAAATTAATCATAAGACAGTTTTCAATATCGGTATGATGCTTATGTTTAAACTTTAAAGATCATCTTTACAGTAATGGGAATATTAATAAATATTTTTCATATTATACAGCTATCCTTAATGATGTGTATTTTTTAATTTTTTACAATTATATTTATCAATTGATATATAAAATTTTATACAAAATATATATTTTATAGTGTGCATCGTTTTTTGATGACACATTTTTTCCTAATTCGCAGTTTATACATTTTTTAAGATAATGAAATAATTGCTCACTATTATGTATAATTTCTTTTATTTGTCTGTGATATTACAACAAATGAATATATATTTTAAATTTTTGAGTTTTTATCCGAACAAGCTTATATAATAAGTTTTGCAACACAACTGCAACTTTCACTTACGTTATTGTTTTTTGTGGCTACAATGTTGCTGATATGCTTGAGCACATTGGAAACGGTGCGGCCCTGATTCGCTTCGCTAGCTAGTTGCGGCAGCGTCTCCACCCTCTCACTAGCCTCGGAATCCTCGGCAGCGGTGCTAGATGTACCAGTGGTGCTCCTTGACTCGCTGTTTGCCCGCAGGCTGAGCGTTGTAGGCGGTTGCGGTCGCCCCGAATTAACGCTGGCGGTTTCCTGCTCTGCTATCTCTGCTCCGGACGCTCTCTTTTCGCTAAAAAACTGCGACTTTCCCACCTGAATCGAGGTGGTAGTTCCACTGGATATATCATTGACTGTGTTGTAACTCTGGTTGTAAACATTCTGGATTTTATTAACTACGCGCCCAAAAAGCGATTCTGGCTTATCCTCAAAGTTCCGTGCGAATTCTGTAAGCTTGGTTGGTGAATGCAAATGCTGGTGATTATTGTTTCCGTTGTTGTTATTGTTGCTAGTCATAGTGCCGTGGTGTTGTGAGTAAAACTTGGGGTATTAAAAGGGTTGGCGAGCTAACGGAGCTGGCCGTGGGACTCAGGGTCCTTGGTTAGATAGAGGTAATGTTGAGCTGATCGATAAGGGCCGCATCCGGTGCAAGCGAACCCAGTGCCAAATCAGTCCACTTTTGTTCCTGTATCCAAAACAAATCATAAGTTACCAAAAATTGGCACACAAAACCTCGCATGGCTCACCTGCTCGCTAAGTGTTAAGTGTGAATCACCGCCGTCGGCCTCTGGATCGGGTAGCTTTTCCTGGGGCACTAGAATCTGATCGAAGGGCAGAACTTCCATGCGCCAAGCATTGTCTACAATGTCCAGGAGCAGATCATCGATGGGAGCCTATAAAAATATAAATGCGTGCGCAACCGCAGCCGAATAAGCGAATACTCATACGAAAACGCCCCCGCAAAGCGCAAAATTACGTCACTACACCCGCCGTGCCCAAATACAGGAGACATACTATTGCTCGGGTATTTAGATTTATCACAATGGGCGCTTTGATAACTGCGACTAATTACAGTGAAGCGATAATTTTTCCACGGTTCCTCACTGCTCTGTACTAGCGCCACACGCAAGTAGGTATAACTTGGGAGCTACCAATTCCCCACTTACCTGGCTATCCATCACTTTTGGAGTAGTACAATCTGCGGTTCTCCAGCTCTTAGAGATTGCCCAATTGTTTATTTAGCCTTTTTTAAAGTACTTTTGTCAACAATTGGATGTGAGTTGTTTATTTCGCAAAACAGCTGGGTAGTGATGGAATTTTGGCCATGCCAACTTGCCGATACCATCGGTTCGAAATGATTGAAGCTCACTGCCAATCGATTGGAACTAGTCGATTGGTGTCAGTAGAATATATATTTTAATTCAACAAACAAACAAATAGCTGGAAAGTCAACATAAGATCTAAACAAATCTGTTTTTTTTATGCCCTTTTTGTGTTTATTTTGAATTTAGCTTTGTAGCTGTACCTAAGTTCCCATTGTGCTACTCCGCTACTCCCGTTGAGCTCTTGATATTTCATATGAAAAAGCGCCAAAAATAAACTTTTTTTCGTTTTTAGAAAATTTTATTTATTGCTTTATCCAAGGAAAACCACGTTGGCAAAACTAAAATAAATATAAAAGAATAGAAATGTATAGGGTGTATTCAAATGCTTGCATTAATTTAAATTTTAGTAGTAAATTGGAAATTAAAGAGCTTACTAAACCAATCTTAACTATGAATATTTTGAAATACCTTCGGAGATGGGACTCCGAATTCTACCAAACTTTCTTTTTATATCCGATCTAACTTCTTCTTAAATAGGTGAAATCCTTCAGAACTCGGTTTTTCTGAAAGATTCAAAATAAGAAATTTTATTTAAATAAATGAGAGCTATGCTTTTGGATATTTAATCATCAAAGAAAGTCTTTAAGAGAGTTAGGCAAATTTTTGAATACATTGAGTTCATACTTTATATATTCTTTTTTTATTTAGTTTTAAGCCGTTTCTAGAAGGATAGAGCCTTAAAAAATCTCCAAAATTATATTAAAAACTTTTAGTTTTTGGAGTTAGGGCTTCGATCTTGTTGACTGTTCCATTGAACAACTGACTAGATGCAGCATAGCGCTCTCAAATTCGTTTTCCAACGTCAGCTATGCCGACATCTTGCCAATTTACCAACGGATTCTGTGCTATATGATCGCTCCAAACTGCTTCCGAACCGCGTTCGCACAAAATTCACGGAAATATTCTCACAGGCCAGAAAGCAACCGACTTCTATTGCTCGATTGTCAATGGCTTTTATCAATGAAACGCTTGTTGTTTTGAAAAGCACTTAACAAGTTTTGTGTGCTTTTGTTGTTGGGCTGATGGTTTGCTGGTTGGCTAGCTGGTTAGTTGACTAGATTGCTGGATTGCTGGACGATGGAAAATGTAATCCGTCAGCGGTGGAGACTAATTGGCAACTGATTCCGAAGCCGCGCAACGCGCTCAGCACCACACCTCGGCAATTGAAGAAGTTTCAATTAGTTGGCATTTGACACTCACACATGGCTATGACTGTCTAAAAAACGGGGATTGCGGCCCGTTGCCAACTCACGCACACCACCACAAAGTGGGGGTGCGTGCACTGGTATTTGTACCTGTTCAGGTACACTTGCACCAAAAAAATTCCACTTTACTTTAAAATATTTTAAATACAAGCTATTTTTAAAATAAATTCTTGGGTGTGAAAAAAAGTCTAAAAGTAGGTTAGCATTAAATCAAATGAAACTTGTTTAAAGTCTGAAATCATTCCTTTTTTTATTTAACCAATTGTCTATCCCATTTTGTCGCCGTGTACACATGCGCCGACAGGTAGCCGACGGTAAGACGAGGTGAGACGCATCGCTTTAGCGTTTTTAGCGCAATGGCATCTGCCCAGAATATTAATGAACTCCCTTTTGAGAAAAATATGAAATGAAATAAAATTTTTTTGTTGCCAGCAAAAGCCGTGTCCACGTCCGTGTCGTCTTGGTCGTTTCGGAATTTGTCGGCCCAAAAGCTGAAGGCACCAAAAATGCATTGGCCATGGCTGCCAGCCAGCTCCAAACATGGCTCCGTGCGCATGCGCAGCGATAGCTACTTCCGCTCGAAAGCAACAAGCTCTTCATCCGAAGAATGTTTGAAAGTAAGAAATAGCCACCTGTATAGATCCCTGCGGGAAGATTACCCTGAAGAGACTTTAGAACGATTGTTCGCTCTCGGGAACAATTTTCTGTGAACCATCTATAGGCATTACATTACAGATATTTATGCGCGATTATACAAAACAGTCACGTGCCGGTCTTCTGTATATATGTTTGTGTATTTATAGGTATTCTCACTTGTCTGGACTTACACTCTATATACATATGCCCCTTTTTGTATATAGAAAGGCAGCAAAACTTTACTCACGAGTGATCTGGACTTTTGGCAGAACTGAAACCCAATTCCCTCTTTCCGATCATCGGATCTTCACCAGTCGGCCGCCTTGGAAAGGCATAATTTGAATATTGTTATTATTATTCATATGCACACGACTCACGTTCGTATAGCAATAAAGCATGCACGTATAAAGTAATCCCATTGACGACGATGGGGACAACCAAATCAAATTCCCAATCCCCAGAGACTTGCAGATACATGCAAAAGTAAGTTCCTACTGAAAGCTAAATATAAATTTCAGAGGATACCGCCAAAGACCCCACAGTCATGATCCTCCACACAATTTCTCCCATTTCCTTCTTTGTTTAAAATTAAAATAAAATTGAATATTAGTATGCACACTCGATGCGCTAACGGATGATGACCAATAGTTTCGTAACATCCAAACCTTGGCTATCAGGCCATAATTGTCGCTGCGATTGCGCTTTCTAAAAAAAACTATCCGTAGAACCGAAGAAATTAATTTTAATAAGCCATTTGGTATTTCAGGCACACGCCAGGCACCAACTGGATTTCTACGGGAAATGCTTTGACGATGATCAGATTCGATATCTGTAAGGAAGTTACAGAGTAGAACGGGAAACATAAAACTTAGCTGAGATATTCCAATAACATGAGTTTGAAAATAACCAGAACTGTGAAGATCACAAAACAAGAGTTTAAATACATTTTTTAAGATTTTTGATGAAAAGTTTTTACTTTTTTTTGTATTATTGATTATATTATTGATTAGAAAACTAGGAGGTTTTCAACGAGGTATTCTTAATATCGTATATTATAGCCATTGCAAAGATATACAAAATATATCTTTACATCGAAGCCCTTTAGAATCTAAATTTATTTAAATTTCTGGCAATAGCCGAACAGAAAAGAAAAAAAACGCAACCTTATAAGTGTATTTTTGTTTATTTTTGAAAATTTTTAAATAATTTTAGTTAAATAAAACATTATTTAGAAATAATATTTTCTTTTTAATAATAATTTTTTTAGAATAATATTTTCTTTTTAATATTAATATTTATTATAAAACATCGCAAAATTATAAAGTTGATTTTTATAAAAATCATGATCAAATTAAAGCAGTTTTTTAGAAATATTTATTTAAATGTGGTTTTAAAAATGCAACTGAATGTTAAAGTATTTTACAGTATTTTTGAGTAAGTGTGGCCAGTCAAAACTCAACTAAGAAGCTCTAAAACGATGTACGTCAAATTAGCGTCGCTCAGTTAGCGTCGAAGTGGAACGGTGGAATTGGAACACAGCAACGAATATTTTGTTTTTCAATTATTTCCGTATTTAGCCACTAAATTTAATCAAATAAACACTAGAATTGTTAAGAATTGAATAAACTATTGTTTTTTCTTACTTTGAGCGGGTTCTTCACTCTTTAAGTAGCTTAAAAATGGGGTTGAAAAATTGCCCCTACACTGTATTGAGCATTATCTCAGAAATAAGAGGATGCGCCAATAAGCGCGATATACCAGCTTATAGCCCGTTCTTTTGAGAATATGCCCTGAAAATTTCATTAAAATCGTTCCCTACGTTTTGGAGCAAATCGACTAAAAGTGGACCAACCCGGCTAACAGCCCATACAAAAATGACCCCGAAAAATTGTTTTTAAAATTGTGAAGCTCCAAGAGGATGCGCCAATATGCACGGTAGTGGAGTCGATGTAGGACCTTTTCAAGTATATATGGACCAAAAATCATACAAATCGTTCCCACAGATTTTGAGAAAATCGAATTACAGTTTCCCATATAATTTGAACTAATAAGAGGAGCGCCAACCAGTGAACCGGAACCAGTCCGCAAAAAGTTCATTGAACTAGTTTAAAAATACTATATGGCTCTGTTAGACTTATTAAGTCCTTCACAGAGGATGCGCCATTATGCACGGTATACCGTTGAAAAGCTTATTTTATACAGAACATTATAAGACAACTTTTATTTAAATCGCTCCCACAGATTTAAAGAAATCAAGTCCCGAAAATTTCAGACCCTGATTCACCAACACTGGCCATTAACAGCATCACATATTTCTGCGCTGCCTAACACGGCGCTAGCCGTTATGGAATTTGAATGCCCCCCTACCTTTTTTTAAAGAGGATGCGCCATTATGCACGGTATACCACGAGAAAGCTAATTTTTAGCCCATTCGAATGGTACCAGTGCCATTAAAATCCTTCCCACAGATTTTTAGAAATCAAGTCCCGAAATTTTCGGGACCTGGTTTGCCAATACTGGCCATTATCATTTTTCCGTGTTTGCACGCTGCACAACACGGCAGCCGCCATTATCTATGTTTGCCTTTTTTTTAAAGAGGATGCGCCATTATGCACGGTATACCACGAGAAAGCTAATTTTTAGCCCGTTCGAATGGTACCAGTGCCATTAAAATCCTTCCCACAGATTTTTAGAAATCAAGTCCCGAAATTTTCGGGACCTGGTTTGCCAATACTGGCCATTATCATTTTTCCGTGTTTGCACGCTGCACAACACGGCAGCCGCCATTATCTATGTTTGCCTTTTTTTTAAAGAGGATGCGCCATTATGCACGGTATACCACGAGAAAGCTAATTTTTAGCCCGTTCGAATGGTACCAGTGCCATTAAAATCCTTCCCACAGATTTTTAGAAATCAAGTCCCGAAATTTTCGGGACCTGGTTTGCCAATACTGGCCATTATCATTTTTCCGTGTTTGCACGCTGCACAACACGGCAGCCGCCATTATCTATGTTTGCCTTTTTTTTAAAGAGGATGCGCCATTATGCACGGTATACCACGAGAAAGCTAATTTTTTAGCCCGTTCGAATGGTACCAGTGCCATTAAAATCCTTCCCACAGATTTTTAGAAATCAAGTCCCGAAATTTTCGGGACCTGGTTTGCCAATACTGGCCATTATCATTTTTCCGTGTTTGCACGCTGCACAACACGGCAGCCGCCATTATCTATGTTTGCCTTTTTTTAAAGAGGATGCGCCATTATGCACGGTATACCACGAGAAAGCTAATTTTTAGCCCGTTCGAATGGTACCAGTGCCATTAAAATCCTTCCCACAGATTTTTAGAAATCAAGTCCCGAAATTTTCGGGACCTGGTTTGCCAATACTGGCCATTATCATTTTCCCAGGTTTTGACGCTGCCCAACACTTATGGCGCCATTAAAAAAAGAGCTCATGTACGTACATACATAAATACATATATAGAAACTACTATATGTATGTATGCTGCCATGTGTTTTCTATATATGTATGTATGCTGCCATGTGTTTTCTATATATGAATGTATGCTGCCATGTGTTTTCTATATATGTATGTATGTATGTACGTACATGAGCTCTTTTTTTAATGGCGCCATAAGTGTTGGGCAGCGTCAAAACCTGGGAAAATGATAATGGCCAGTATTGGCAAACCAGGTCCCGAAAATTTCGGGACTTGATTTCTAAAAATCTGTGGGAAGGATTTTAATGGCACTGGTACCATTCGAACGGGCTAAAAATTAGCTTTCTCGTGGTATACCGTGCATAATGGCGCATCCTCTTTAAAAAAAGGCAAACATAGATAATGGCGGCTGCCGTGTTGTGCAGCGTGCAAACACGGAAAAATGATAATGGCCAGTATTGGCAAACCAGGTCCCGAAAATTTCGGGACTTGATTTCTAAAAATCTGTGGGAAGGATTTTAATGGCACTGGTACCATTCGAACGGGCTAAAAATTAGCTTTCTCGTGGTATACCGTGCATAATGGCGCATCCTCTTTAAAAAAAGGCAAACATAGATAATGGCGGCTGCCGTGTTGTGCAGCGTGCAAACACGGAAAAATGATAATGGCCAGTATTGGCAAACCAGGTCCCGAAAATTTCGGGACTTGATTTCTAAAAATCTGTGGGAAGGATTTTAATGGCACTGGTACCATTCGAACGGGCTAAAAATTAGCTTTCTCGTGGTATACCGTGCATAATGGCGCATCCTCTTTAAAAAAGGCAAACATAGATAATGGCGGCTGCCGTGTTGTGCAGCGTGCAAACACGGAAAAATGATAATGGCCAGTATTGGCAAACCAGGTCCCGAAAATTTCGGGACTTGATTTCTAAAAATCTGTGGGAAGGATTTTAATGGCACTGGTACCATTCGAACGGGCTAAAAATTAGCTTTCTCGTGGTATACCGTGCATAATGGCGCATCCTCTTTAAAAAAAGGCAAACATAGATAATGGCGGCTGCCGTGTTGTGCAGCGTGCAAACACGGAAAAATGATAATGGCCAGTATTGGCAAACCAGGTCCCGAAAATTTCGGGACTTGATTTCTAAAAATCTGTGGGAAGGATTTTAATGGCACTGGTACCATTCGAACGGGCTAAAAATTAGCTTTCTCGTGGTATACCGTGCATAATGGCGCATCCTCTTTAAAAAAAGGCAAACATAGATAATGGCGGCTGCCGTGTTGTGCAGCGTGCAAACACGGAAAAATGATAATGGCCAGTATTGGCAAACCAGGTCCCGAAAATTTCGGGACTTGATTTCTAAAAATCTGTGGGAAGGATTTTAATGGCACTGGTACCATTCGAACGGGCTAAAAATTAGCTTTCTCGTGGTATACCGTGCATAATGGCGCATCCTCTTTAAAAAAGGCAAACATAGATAATGGCGGCTGCCGTGTTGTGCAGCGTGCAAACACGGAAAAATGATAATGGCCAGTATTGGCAAACCAGGTCCCGAAAATTTCGGGACTTGATTTCTAAAAATCTGTGGGAAGGATTTTAATGGCACTGGTACCATTCGAACGGGCTAAAAATTAGCTTTCTCGTGGTATACCGTGCATAATGGCGCATCCTCTTTAAAAAAAGGCAAACATAGATAATGGCGGCTGCCGTGTTGTGCAGCGTGCAAACACGGAAAAATGATAATGGCCAGTATTGGCAAACCAGGTCCCGAAAATTTCGGGACTTGATTTCTAAAAATCTGTGGGAAGGATTTTAATGGCACTGGTACCATTCGAACGGGCTAAAAATTAGCTTTCTCGTGGTATACCGTGCATAATGGCGCATCCTCTTTAAAAAAGGCAAACATAGATAATGGCGGCTGCCGTGTTGTGCAGCGTGCAAACACGGAAAAATGATAATGGCCAGTATTGGCAAACCAGGTCCCGAAAATTTCGGGACTTGATTTCTAAAAATCTGTGGGAAGGATTTTAATGGCACTGGTACCATTCGAATGGGCTAAAAATTAGCTTTCTCGTGGTATACCGTGCATAATGGCGCATCCTCTTTAAAAAAGGCAAACATAGATAATGGCGGCTGCCGTGTTGTGCAGCGTGCAAACACGGAAAAATGATAATGGCCAGTATTGGCAAACCAGGTCCCGAAAATTTCGGGACTTGATTTCTAAAAATCTGTGGGAAGGATTTTAATGGCACTGGTACCATTCGAATGGGCTAAAAATTAGCTTTCTCGTGGTATACCGTGCATAATGGCGCATCCTCTTTAAAAAAAGGTAGGGGGGCATTCAAATTCCATAACGGCTAGCGCCGTGTTAGGCAGCGCAGAAATATGTGATGCTGTTAATGGCCAGTGTTGGTGAATCAGGGTCTGAAATTTTCGGGACTTGATTTCTTTAAATCTGTGGGAGCGATTTAAATAAAAGTTGTCTTATAATGTTCTGTATAAAATAAGCTTTTCAACGGTATACCGTGCATAATGGCGCATCCTCTGTGAAGGACTTAATAAGTCTAACAGAGCCATATAGTATTTTTAAACTAGTTCAATGAACTTTTTGCGGACTGGTTCCGGTTCACTGGTTGGCGCTCCTCTTATTAGTTCAAATTATATGGGAAACTGTAATTCGATTTTCTCAAAATCTGTGGGAACGATTTGTATGATTTTTGGTCCATATATACTTGAAAAGGTCCTACATCGACTCCACTACCGTGCATATTGGCGCATCCTCTTGGAGCTTCACAATTTTAAAAACAATTTTTCGGGGTCATTTTTGTATGGGCTGTTAGCCGGGTTGGTCCACTTTTAGTCGATTTGCTCCAAAACGTAGGGAACGATTTTAATGAAATTTTCAGGGCATATTCTCAAAAGAACGGGCTATAAGCTGGTATATCGCGCTTATTGGCGCATCCTCTTATTTCTGAGATAATGCTCAATACAGTGTAGGGGCAATTTTTCAACCCCATTTTTAAGCTACTTAAAGAGTGAAGAACCCGCTCAAAGTAAGAAAAAACAATAGTTTATTCAATTCTTAACAATTCTAGTGTTTATTTGATTAAATTTAGTGGCTAAATACGGAAATAATTGAAAAACAAAATATTCGTTGCTGTGTTCCAATTCCACCGTTCCACTTCGACGCTAACTGAGCGACGCTAATTTGACGTACATTCTAAAACGCTTCAATGCCGGCAGGTTACAAGTCGGAAGCCACACTAGGCATTCATAAATAAATATCCTGTATGAGAATTTACGGTTTTAGGTTTTAAAAATATATTACTGCGATTAAAATGTCGCTCAACGATGGATTTCATCCGGGTAAAGGAAAGCACCGCGCGATGGTAAGCTTTATTTACTTATAAGACGCATTAACTTAACTAACACTGCACTTTCCAGCCGGATTACCAAAAGATCAAGCAATCCGATCTGGAACAGCTCTTCGAAAAAAAGTTTCGCTATCAAAAACCCCGAGGAGAAGACAATTGGACCTTGCCATCATTGGACCAACCACTCTTTTCGGAATTTTACCAGTTCGATGCTCTCCAGGGCCTCGGGACACAGCTTAATGCTGTAAAGAGCCGGCTCAATGATTACAGCACCCAGGAGTGGAGTGCTCATACTAACCGCCGCGATCCCTCTGGAGAGGTATCCTGGCGCCTGAAGAACGAAACGAAGGCGGAGTTCGTTACTGTGGCTTGGTGCAAGTTCTTTGAGTGCCTTCATCGCTATCCGCTAATCAAGAATCCTGTGGTGAACACCCTTCACCTATGCGAGGCTCCTGGAGCATTCATAGCCTCCTTGAACCACTACCTGCACAGTACCTACAAAGAGGATGAGGTTTGCCTTTTATTCTTGTATATCACACCAAACTAACCATTACCTTTTGGCAGATCCGATGGCGCTGGCGCTCTACGACTTTAAATCCCTACTACGAGGGTAATGCTCTTAATGAGATGATAACCGATGATCGGTTTATATTCCATACTCTGGACAATTGGCTCTTCCACAAAGATTTGACAGGCAATTTGCTTAATGTGTCGAATATCGAAAGTATGGCTGCAAGGTGTGCCGAGGATTTCCAAGACAAAGTGGATCTCATCACTGCTGATGGCTCCATAGACTGTGCGGCACAGCCGGACTTACAGGAGGAAATAGTGGTGCGACTCTTCTTTGCTGAGGTTTTCAGTGCCTTGAAGATTCTGTCAGCTGGCGGCAATTTTGTGGTTAAGATGTTCACTCTGTTTGAGGCCTGCAGTGTGTCGCTGTTGTACATGCTGAATTGCATCTTCCACCAGGTCCACATTTTCAAGCCCGCAACATCCAAACGAGGAAACTCTGAGGTTTATGTGATATGTCTGGAATATCAAAAAGACACTCCTGGTTTAGGCCGCATTCTAGAAGCAATTCAAGCCAAATTAGAGCAGCCGAATGATACAATGGTGATGCCATTATTTGCCAGATCTCATATTCCCCAGGACTTCCTCATGCAGCACGAGATTGCTTGCCGGTTGTATGCGAAGATGCAATCGGACGCCATCGAGGGAAGCATCTACGCCTTTGAATCTAATGATCGCCATTATATGCGTCACTTGCACCACCTTCGAAGCCTTGTCTCAGATACATACTATCAGCGCTATAAGGTTCAAGTTTTGGAGGACAGACTTTGCCTTGTGAACAAGGAAGCCACGAACAAAGCTCTTGGCTTCTTCGTGCCAGTATACGGTGGATCTTACACCGAAAGGGAGGACCTGAAACACGGTGATCTTCTCAAGCAGATCTACTGCTTGCGACGGGAGTTCAACCAATTGGAAAAGTGCCTCCATGGCACTAAAACCTCCAATTATGTTAAGGATGGATCAAAGGCTTTGAAGTTCCGGGTAGCTAGAGGAGCTCTGGTGAAAAGCCTGCAGAGCAGCATGTTTGCTTCAGAGCCAATTCTCCTACTGCGTCTCCGCATTCTTGACATATTTGGTATGGATCCAATTTGGCAGACGGCTCCCAAGTGTCATTTAGACAACAAGGTACTCAACTATCTGCCACCCTCCGAAAACGAGACTTTTCACTCGGCTCAGCGCAAATTCTTTATTGATCTCCTGGAGTTTATCGATGAAAACAGACCTCAAAGTGTTGTTTTCCACAAGTTCCTGTTCCTCACTCATTATTCTGCTTCTGTTCTCCTATTTTTAATGGAAATGGTTTACGAGGAATCTAATTTCGAAAGCAAATCGTCACAGACTTTAGCTCTGAGTAAAATAGGAGCCACCGGTAGCGGAGAAATTAGGGCTGTAATTAATATACTAAAGGAGAATCAGGAGTTGGAGATTCACAGTCTCTTCGAAATCAAGGAACTCCAGAAGAACCATTTCAGCAATCTTCTCATCCAGCACAACAATAATGTACTCATGAATTGTTTCCATGGCATGTTGGGCGAGGAAGCCTTCCCCAGACCGGTTGCCATAGCTCCCAACGTAACCAACGCGATCAAGGAACAGCCAGCAGTTTGTTAACATAACGAACATGTATTTCTCACTTGCATAAAATTACAGTGCTACTTTTACAAAACTATGTTCTCTGCCACGGATATCCGTTTACATGTTTTGAGGGTAGTTTATTAAGGGAAAAATGATAATTTAATAACTAAACTGAAAATCACAAGACTAATGGGGATCTAGGATGTATCAGGATGTAGGATGCGGGTCACTCGTCTCAAGCTTGCTAATCCGCCGGGCGTTTTTCGCTGTGCTTCTTGGTGTAGTCCTCAGCATTTTTCACAAACTTCTTGCGATCCTTGAGAAACTCCTCAGCGAGCTCGGCACGAAGCGGGTGCTCTGGCTCCGGGTCATTAATTAGATCTACCAGTGCCTGCACCACCTGATCTGTGCGCGTGGCCGGCTTCCAGTTTTCGGTGCTGATGATCGGCAGGCACACTTGACCCTTTTCATCGATGTTCGGATGATAGATACGTGTCTTGAAGTTAATTTTGGGTGGCTTAAAAGGATACTCCGCCGGAAAGTTAATCTCGATGCGGAAGGCACCCTTGTTGTACGGCGGATTGTCGGGGACAATTAGTCCCGTCCAGCGCAGCAGGTTGTCGTCATCGGCCTTGATGTCCCGGAAGGCCTTCAGTGTGTTCTCCTGCAAGTCACTCAGTTCCTTTCGTAGGCGTCGCGGCGCAGTCATCCTGACCTCTGTACGTGTGTGTGTTGGAAAATGAGTGTTCTGGGAACGATTTATGGATTTGTGTGCGTGCCAACTTTTGTTTGCCCTTGTATGAGTGGCAAATCAATGGTTCGATGGTAAGCGCTTCCGATGATGAGTAATTGGACCTTGCGGAGCAGTCGGTACTGCTTTGCTGGTCTCCCAGTTCTTTGGTTCTCTTCTGTACCGTCGGTGGCTTGTGTGGCCCTCGAAATTAGCAATTTTTAGAACTGCGTTAGAGTTGTGATATTATATCAAAATATTAATATATCGATATATATTGTATAAAAATCACGATATTGATTTTGCCAAAATATCGAAAGAATGGTTCGTGTCTTAGCTTACAGATTTATAAATTTTAGTTTTATGTAAAATACAAGACTTTTCAAGACAAGACTAATTTTTATTAATATTATATATTTATTGACCATTTTTATTGGATATCGTCGCCTTTAGTGCGCAAACTTAATTAAACATGATATACCACAAAACTGTCATTTAAATTACTGTTACCCAGTATTTCCCAACTGTTAAACGTATCGTTATCAAACCATTAGGCGCGCGTTTAAATTAAAAACGATAACGAACATTTTTAAAAGCTTGCGATAAAATCAGGAACCTCATTAAGTCAACATAGATTTATGCAATAGATTTATTTTCTTATAAGTGATATAAATTTAAAACAATTATGCCATTTCCATCCGTTTTACTGATCGATATCCGAGCGCACATGGTAATCGATTTGATGTCATCACTATCCCCTAACTGCAACACGTGCGCCGCGGTAGTTTTGTTTTCCCCCAAAAATGACTAAAAAACTCACACTTAAGCGAAAAGGTAAAGATCCGGAGCCCAAAAATGAAGTAGCCGCCAGTTCCGAGGCCTCCGACAACGAGGAAGAAGAGGTAAGTTTCGCTTTTTGCATTTAAAAGCCCACCTTTGTCACCTGCATATGTTTGTTGTTTGTTAGGACCTGTTACAAGCGGTGAAAGATCCTGGAGAGGATTCTACCGATGACGAGGGCATTGATCAGGAGTACCAGTCTGATAGCAGCGAGGATCTGGAGTTTGAAAGCGATGAGGAGGGCAATTACCTTGGCAGAAAGAAAGGATCAGGCAGTTCAGAAGGGGAAGATGATGAAGGTGATGAAGAAGACGAAGAGGAGGATGAGGAAGATGATGATAGTGAAGATGACGAGTCTGCTGAGGATGGAGACGGAGAGAAACCCACCACTTCCAAACAAAAAAAGTCTGACGATGAGCCAAGCAGCAGCAAAGTTTCAAAGAAACCCCAACCTCCAAAGGAACTGGTCAAGAGGGATCCCTCTCACCCGGAGTACCGCGACTCTGACACCTCCGACGAAGAAGATATACGCAATACTGTTGGAAACATACCCATGCACTGGTATGACGAATACAAACATATTGGCTACGATTGGGATGCCAAGAAGATTGTGAAACCCCCACAGGGCGATCAGATCGATGAGTTCTTGCGCAAGATCGAGGATCCGAACTTCTGGCGTACCGTCAAGGACCCTCAAACCGGACAAGAAGTACTCATCACCGATGAGGACATTGCCTTGATCAAGCGCATTGTTTCCGGACGCATTCCAAACGAGGATCACAATGAGTATGAACCCTGGGTGGAGTGGTTTACTTCGGAGGTGGAGAAGATGCCCATTAAGAACGTGCCGGACCACAAGCGATCCTTCCTGCCGTCTGTTTCCGAGAAGAAGCGAGTTGGTCGCATGGTACATGCTCTCAAAATGGGCTGGATGAAGACCACCGAGGAGGTGGAACGAGAGAAACAGGCTAAGCGCGGTCCCAAGTTCTATATGCTCTGGGAGACGGACACTAGTCGGGAGCATATGCGCCGCATACACGACCCTGTCTCGGCCCCCAAACGTGACTTGCCAGGACACGCAGAATCCTACAACCCGCCACCAGAGTACCTCTTCGACGAAAAAGAAACCAAGGAGTGGCTGAAGCTGAAGGATGAACCGCACAAGCGGAAGTTGCACTTTATGCCCCAGAAGTTTAGCTCCCTACGTGCGGTGCCCGCTTATTCGAGATACCTCCGCGAACGTTTCCTCCGCTGTCTCGATCTTTACCTTTGTCCTCGTGCCAAGCGTGTGAAACTGAATATTGATGCAGAGTACCTCATTCCGAAGCTTCCATCGCCACGTGACCTGCAACCCTTCCCCACAATCGAGAGTCTGGTTTATCGCGGCCACACAGACTTGGTGCGTTCGGTTAGCGTGGAGCCCAAAGGCGAATACATCGTATCTGGCTCAGATGACAAGACTGTCAAGAGTAAGTACCAAAATACATACAACATGATGTTTATCTTATAAAAATTATCCTTCCACAGTTTGGGAAATTGCTACTGGTCGCTGCATCCGCACAATTGAAACCGAAGACGTGGTACGCTGCGTTGCTTGGTGTCCCAATGCCAAACTCTCTATTATTGCCGTGGCTACTGGCAATCGTCTTTTATTGATCAATCCCAAAGTGGGTGACAAGGTGCTGGTGAAGAAAACCGATGACCTACTGGCCGAGGAGCCGAGCTCGGATGTAATTGAGAGCGAGCGCATCAAGGCGGCCGTACAGTGGTCTACTGCAGAGGCCGCCGAGCAGGAGAAGGGCGTCCGAGTTGTGATAAATCACTTTAAACCCATTCGCCAGGTCACCTGGCACGGACGCGGGGACTATCTGGCCACGGTCATGCCAGAGGGTGCCAATCGTTCCGCTCTGATTCACCAGCTGTCCAAGCGCCGTTCACAAATACCATTCTCCAAGAGCAAGGGTCTCATACAGTGCGTGCTGTTCCATCCGGTGAAGCCCTGCTTCTTCGTGGCGGTATGTTTTGCCTCTATATCTGTGTATGACTGTACAAACTAAGCATATCCTATTTTGTATCTTACAGACGCAGCACAACATTCGTATCTATGATTTGGTCAAACAGGAACTGGTCAAGAAACTGCTCACAAACTCCAAGTGGATATCTGGCATGTCCATTCATCCGAAGGGAGACAATCTTCTGGTCTCCACATACGACAAAAAGATGCTTTGGTTTGACTTGGACTTGTCCACCAAACCGTATCAGACCATGCGCCTTCATCGCAATGCTGTGCGAAGTGTGGCCTTCCATCTCCGGTATCCTCTATTTGCTTCTGGCAGCGACGACCAGGCTGTGATTGTTTCACATGGCATGGTATACAAGTAAGTATTAAAAATTAATTTATAAATCTAAAAAATATTATAATTTGTGCTTCGTACTTTAGTGACCTGCTGCAGAACCCCCTTATTGTGCCTCTCAAGAAGCTGCAGACGCATGAGAAACGCGAGGACTTTGGCGTCCTCGACGTCAACTGGCATCCTATCCAGCCTTGGGTCTTCTCCACGGGAGCTGATTGCACCATCCGACTCTACACGTAACTTTGTAGTTTGCTTGATTGACAGTTTTCGAAAGTTAAATGGAGTTTCTATAGTTATTAAATATAATTTTTTAAAGGAATGAGAAGACTTTTTTGGATTTTTTCAAGATTATTTGGGGTAATTGTTTTAAAATAAGAAAAAGAATTTTTTATCTTAAATTTTCATATTTATTTTTCCAAACTAGAATTTTAAATTTTATTGACATCCTGAATTCCCAATTGAATCCTGTTCTAAGTTCAAAGTCAAAATGCAACCCTGTCGAAAGTTCGGAAGCTCCATTCTGAAAGCTTTGGGGCCAATCCAGATGAGCAGTGGAGCCGTGGGGCTTTTTTTCTCTTCCACTCGCGCACATGTCCCGCGGCGGCCATCTCTTTGCTCTCTTTTTGTGTGTACCAGGAATTTCAACTGTATAGCTATGCGGCTGAGCTTTCACTCCGTGTCTTACTCTCCGTGACCGTGTGCCTTGTCCACCTTTGATGCCCCAGCTCGCCCCTCGCCTACGGCTGGCTCCACCATTAAATGGGGTTCTGGGGAGGAGCGCGCGCATTGGAAAATCAAGAGCTGGCAAACGGCACTGCTCGGAAATCAGTCGCCTGCTCCGCCAGTCGCTCCGTGGATTTCGGATTTCGAGGATTTCTTGGGTTTTCTGGCCCAGCGTTCGCAGAGCAGCAGCAAAAATCGCAGAGCGCAGAAAACGATTTGGGGAATAAGTGCTGCATCGAAAATGGCTTGGCAGGAAAAATAAAATCGACAAAATAATTAAATACGGCCCGAAGGCATGATGTGATGTGAAAAGTGTGAAAATGCCAGGCCACGCGAAAAAGTAATCAAGCAATCAAGTGACCAGAAAATTGCAGTTCCGCGCACAATTCGAATACCAAAATCGTATCAAGGTATTGGAAAGTCAAAAAAAAAAAAATTAAATACAAAAAAATAAAATCAAAACGCAAGCAAAACAATTTCGGGTCGAAAAAATATACACAAATATATAAACGAGAGCAGAGCACTCATACACTCCCCAAAAGATTCAGATTCTAGTGGCAGTGGCAGGCAAAAATTCGTATGTACTCGTCGTTGCTCCTAAATACATACATACATATAAGCCTCACTGCCCCCCACCAACCGTCACCACCCCCAAATTGACTCCTCGCCACCACCCCTCCCCTTCGACCACCCTACCCCCCAAAAAAAAAGCAGTGTGTGTTTGTGTGATGGTGTGTTTTTGGTGAAAATATGAACGGAAACGCTGTTGGAAAAATACAATTAGCAGCTAAATAGATTCAATGGCCATCGGAGGGAGCACCAGCAGCTGATTTGTGATAATTCCGTTAAAAGTTCCAAGTGCAATTAGCCACCTACATGTTGCAGCTGTTGCAACCAACAGTCATAGCAGATAGCAACATAACCGAACCAACAACAACATTAGTCCGAAGGAGCAAAATCACGCATACGCCCCATCAGCCCGACCCAACAATGCGCTCCACTTAGTCAAGTGCGTGTCAATGTAGTTGCTAACATACACACACGTACTATACATACAAACAGACGCACAGGCATACCTCTGTAATGACTAGCACAAGAAATAAATAAAATACAGAAAGAACAACAACAACAACAATAATAGCAACAAGAACAACAACAAGTTCAGCGGGGGCAGCTCCAGCTGCTCATAAATTTCGTAACGCTTGGGAAATGTGCCCCTTGGTGCACGGGCACTGGCACTGGCTCTGGCTCTGGGCACTGCCACTGGCACTGAATCGGTCGTGAATTGCTTGTGATTTTCGCCCGTAAATCCAGCGGAATAGGAATATGTAAATGCCGTAGGCGCCACCACCCGCGCACCACCACTCGCAGCACTAGTACTCGCAGCACCACCACCCATTCAACCATCAAGCCCGTCGACCCACGCAACATTCAAGGCAATCGACCCGACCAGGACACCCAACCAGTATCAGGATAAAGGCCACAATCTGAATCACAAGCACTCATTAAGGGAATTTCTTGGATTTTTGGCGGTCCTCTTATTAATTGCTCTAAAAAACGAAAACATGTAAAAATTCCCCAAGGAAAATCTGGAAAAAAGAAAATTAAATAAATAAAAAAAAAAAAACAAACGAAAAACTAAAATCAAGAGCACCACCACAGAGAGGACAAGAGACAGAGAGATCCAAGCCAAGGAGAGAGTTGGAACTTTCGATAAAAAATTATTAGCAAAAACATAAATACGTAACGGCCTCGTTTTCCCCTTCCCCAAAAACAAAAAACAAGAAAAAAGAAGAGAAATAAACTTGAAGAGCATAGAGGGCGAGTGGGAGAGAGAGAAAGCAAGTGGGTGAGTGGGTAGGTCAGTGGCAGTGGGCGGTACGCCAGCTGGGGCAGCACCACCCTCGTCCATCCCTCCAGCCATCCTCACCGCCAGCGTCAACCTCAACTTGCAAAGGGCAGGTAAGGTAAGTGAGTGCACCTGAAAAAAAAACAAGCAACAAAAACAATAAATCAAGAACTGTTTCGGATTTAGTCATGCCACTCGAATTTCCTTCAAGGCTGTATAACTGTATGCCCATTAAATAAAACTTTAGTGATAAAGTGGACTTTATTATCTATTTGATTTATAAATATTCAAATACTGCTTATTGGGGGGCTTTAATCGGAATGCAAGTCATGAAAAATGACGAAAATAAACAAAACTTCAAAAAGTGAAAGAAGATAAAATAAACAAAATGTAATAAAGACTAATATTTATTTTACTTATAAATATTAAAGAGTAGAAGATATTTATTTCTCTGTAAAACTGTGATTATCCTTCCTCAGTCTCTATAACCACTTAACGGTTTTAATACAGTCTCGGTTTATTCTTTTTTTGGCAGCCAGCGGCATGTCCTGCACCGTTTCGGAGCTGCCCAGTGGCTGTCGATTACGCGGCATGACTGCATCCTCCCAACAGAATGCGGCCAACAATAGTGGCAATAATGGCAACGGGAACGGCAACGGTAACGGCAATGGCAATGGCAACGGCAACAGCGGCAGCGGAGTGGGCGGCGGTATAGGAGGTGGCGGCAGCATAAGCGGTGTATCCCCCACGGTCGGTGGTTCCACATCCAATGTGCTCCAGGAGTCCAATGCGGCCACGTTGCAACGGCCGCAGTCGCAGAAGCCGTGCTGCTTCTGCTGGTGTTGCTGCTGTTCCTGCTCCTGGTGAGTATCCTTTGAATGGGGCCTTCATTACTCACATCCTGTATAACGAAATCAATTTCTTTCTCGTTACCGTGTGCTGCCTTGGCTCTACTTGACGACCGCAAAACTACTACCACTACCAATGCAACAAAAAAATATAACAAAAACCGTGAAAACAGGGCCAAATGGTGAGTTTCCAACCAACTACCTATGGTTGTGGTACACTGAGGGAAATAAATGAGCAGATGAGGATTGTATCTAGTAAAAAGGATACAATCATTGCAGATCATATCCTTTTCTCAAAAACTAGTATTTCTCTTTAGAAGTATTTTTATTTAGTATTTTTCCTTAAGAAATATTCCTTTAAGAGACTACCTCTTTTTTCGCTCAGTGCTGTCATGGATGTGGCCACGGCTATGGTTATTGCTCTGCCATTGCTTCACTTTGGTATTGGCTATGGCCACTGACATGGACATGGACATTGAAATTGAAATGGACACGGACACGGACACGGGCACGGACATGGAGGAGGCCTTTAATGACAGCTGGCAATGCTGCTGCTCTCATATGGACCGAAAGAAAAGCTTTCTCTCTGGCCATCCTCCAGCTTCGTCTCTCTTTTGGCCAATAGGGCCTGAAGTATTCCGTTCTCTTTGCATTTTTTTTGTTCGTGTAGGGAGGAACTCTCTGCCCCTCTCGTTCTCTCTCCCACGTTCATTCACAATTCCGGGAGCAACGACGAGTCGGGCAGCGAAAAGCTCTCTGGAGGGCACTTTTCAAATCAAATATAAATAAGTATGTGGCGGCGCTCCGCTGACTCCTCCAAGTGTTGCATGTTTTCGTGAATGAAATCGAAAGTCTTTTTCGGCCCTAGCGCCATATCCACCCTCGGGGCACCTTTTTGGGTGCCTAGGCTGAGGCAACAAAGCCCAAGACCCAACTCCCGAAAACCCCCTACATTCCCTACCACCACCAACCAACCACCCACCTACCATAACCACCAAAAGCCACATATAATTTGATTCATATACTCGCACATATACACATAGATATATCCATGTATTTGGGGTATGTGGGTTTGTGTGACTTTGATTAGGTATTGGGGCAGCAGCGAGTTGCTTTGATAACTGTCAGCCAGATAAGGAAGCTTTGTCAAGTTCGAGTGCTCCGTTCGGCAGCTCTGTCTCTGGGGCTCGAAACCCAAAACCGATATGACATTAGCCTATCTACAGTGGTCACTCGAGCCAATTAAGTATTATACCAGCTATCGCTCAAACTATAAATTGTATGTGTTACGTAATATCGAAAATAGTTATGTTATCCTACCCAGATCCTTTGAAAAATATCTTCCCAAACTAAGTTCAAACTGTTACTTGTATTCTTTATACACGGTGACCACTGTATTTATACTTTTACGATACTTTGCGCCAGTTAAAAATGAGTCAGGATGAGCGGCCATTCAGCAATGAATAAAATCGTAGTCTACTTTAAAGGGTGATTGATGAGATTTAATATGAAAATAATCCAAGAATTTAACACACTTTCTTTCGTTTCTCATTATCTTTACAGCCTGGCCATTAAAAATGCCGATGAAAATGCGCCCACGAAGCGAGATCTCGTTAATTCCGAATTCCTAGATGGCGAACAGTGAGTACTCCATATCCATGCAACGAAAATTCATATATAAACACGATTTTATTATATTTCAGGCCCACACTGGAGGAAATCCGCAGCTGGGGCAAAAGCTTCGACAAGCTGATGAAGAACTCAGGTGAGAATTGAGTGAACTCTTGCCCTTTAATACTCGACTATATGAATGTCAAACATTTTCGACATCCAGCTGGCCGAAAGGTGTTCCAGAACTTCCTGCGCAGCGAGTTCAGCGAGGAGAACATACTCTTCTGGCTGGCCTGCGAGGACCTCAAGAAGGAGGGCAGTGCGGAAGTGGTGGAGGAGAAGGCGCGCCTGATCTACGAGGACTACATCTCGATCCTGTCGCCCAGGGAAGTGTCGCTGGATTCGCGAGTCCGAGAAATCGTGAACCGGAACATGATCGAACCGACGACGCATACCTTTGACGAAGCTCAAATTCAAATCTACACACTGATGCACAGAGACTCATATCCGAGGTAAGGACAATGGATGATCTTTATTAAGTATTAATAACCAAAGGATTATTGTGTTCTTGCCCCCCAGATTCCTAAACTCACAAAAGTTCAGGACACTCGCTCAACTGCAAGACAACTCGAATGCCGGCTCCAAAGCGGATAGTCCCACTTAGAGAGGATTTGGCTTGGATCCCGGATGGATCCCGGATTCAGTTGTGCTGTGTTGATTTCCGTTATTGCTCTCCATTGACATTTATGCTGGATTTCCGGCCCCGCTGCTGTTGCTGCTGCAATCGACTAAGCAATATGTATCCATTAGTAGAATCATTTCACCGTTTTGCCAGCAGACCAGCATCTCCGAGATACTTTTAGTTTTTTTTTTTTTTTAGTTTTTGGAGAAAGGGGAGGAAATTCAGACGAATGGCATTATACGTGAAACGGATTCCTTCTCTGCTTACGTTCTAGTCGTTAACAAAACCAATGAGTTAAGCACTAAACAAATTGTTGAAACTAAGGAGCTGGTTCGACCACAAAAAACATTTTTCATAAAAAGCGGTTCCCCAACAAAACAGTCACCATTTATAAAAAAAAACGAGCGACAAAAAATAGCATCTATTGTAATACTAGTGATCTAAGAGACGTATTAATCAAATTGCAACAAAGATTACGGATCCCGCTAACCGTTAAGTACATTTAACAGCAAACCACAACTTTTTCCAAAAAAAGAAACAAAAACAAAAACCAAAAAATCTTTTTAAACGTATTACATAAATTTATAAAATTATATACACACCAGCATATATATATATATATATATATTATATATACAGATATATAGAGACATTTAACTTGACTAGTTTTGAAAATCGTTTTAGGTCATATGAGTAATGACATCGAAGCATTTTGTAAATACCACAGCCAATGACAACACTTTCTACTTTCTTATAAAGCCCCATTTAAAAATGATGTCCATTCGTAAGGAAGTCAACCAAACAAAGCCCCATCTTGAGCTGTATTTTGATCCAGACAAACCAATATATAGATATATGGTATTATATGTAAATACCCAGTAAAAGTCTAACCGATTCGAAGGGAAACCCAACTCTTACCGATACTAGAACGAACGCATAATTAAACGTATACTATATATTTCGATGTCGAGCTGATTTCCAAGTCGAAAGAAGAACGTTTCGCAATATCACTGCCAACAAAAACAAAAAATCAGAACTCTGCAAGAGATATATAATATATCTTCTTATATTTATGTACATCTTCGAATATATTGCAATTATGTTTCAAGAAATGCGTTTACACACCTACACAGCGGAAGTTCCAAGAGTTTCCCTCACTCAAACATCCCTTACCCTATTTCTGCATTAACAAATCTTTAAATAATATATATTAAAAACAGTATTATAAAAACAAACAAAAAATATGAAAAAAAAAAATGCGAAACACAAAAGTATGGTTAAATTAAAATTTTAGCAAAAAAAAGTTGTCGAATTGAAAACTAAAAACTAAAACCAAAAAAAAAAACATGAAACAAAAAAATGCGTTTATGACAAAAAAAAAAACACATAAAAAATAATGAAATTTTAGCAGGGAACGGAGGATTTCCGGTTCAGTTCCATTTCCGAACCCTGCCAGAGACCTAGGCAAAAAGTTAACATTGTATTTTCGAGTATTAGGTTGGATTTTCGTTTAAGGTTTAGGTTGTCTGTGTTTTGAGGCACAATATTTTAAAGTACAAGAATCATGAGTGTACCTTTGTTGCGGGGAGAAGGGAATGTTTTTCGTAGCTAGTTGGTGTGCCTAGTTTTAATGCATCTATCGACACACAGGACACACAGGATTTCCTCACCAAATCTCACACAATACCAAAAACACAAAACTCTTCTAGCTTTTAAGCATGTTCCAGTTGATCTGAATTTTTAATTTAATTGGTCCAGTACATTTTACATCCTTATATCCGCCTCAAGCTTCCGTTTTTCGTCCTTAAAACTTTTTCGCGTCACTCAGGCTGCTACTTGGAATTGAGAATTCGACAACCGCTTTTGCATTATAGAATGGGGGGGAGCAAAGATCGAGTTTCCCCCCCTTAAAAAAAAGAAAAAACTAATGTCAGTTTCCATGGTTTGTTAAATTAATTTTAGGCAATCAGGTTAAACACAATGTCCAGGCTAAAGGGACGCGCGGAGGGAAGGAATGTTTGTTTGTAAATGTTTCTCTTCGGTTTCTTACTTTGCAGAACGGACAGATATAAGACTTTTTGAACAAAAAAACAGAATTAATAAGTAAATTTAATACAATTGTTGTTTGTTTTAGTTTTATACACCCATACACCCAACAAACACCCCAACACCCACCCACACAAGCACACACAATACCAGCGCACACACCGATACATGCATATATATATACTATATAGAGGTATATGTACAAAATCGTAATCAAGCATTAGTGAAAAGTTTCGACCAGTTAAAAACCATAAATTAAATTTATTACAAAACAAATCAACTAATAAATAAATGAAGAAAAAAAGAAAGAAAAAAAAACACGGCAAAATCAATAAATACAAAATGGATTATACTAAGCCTAAAATTTAGTTTTAAAACATTTAATATATTGCAACAATAAACCAAAAGGAAAATAAAACTCAAATTCAAAATCGAAGTGACTTTTATTAAACATATCGAGAATATTTCATTAGGAATGTAATACATAAAGGATTATCGAACATAAAGAAAACATTTCATTAGGAATTTAATAACATAAAGAACTTCTTCGAAATTATTAGGATCCAGTCCAATACTATTTTACTTAATTATTTATTAGTTTAGCAATATTATCGGAACTTTTTTTTTAAAGATTATAAAAAGATAATAATAACATAAAACATTCATTCGAAAAAAATTAGGATCCAGTCCAATACTATTTTACTTAATCTTACTTAGTTTGGCAATATTATCGGAAATTTTTTTAGTAACTTCCAACAGTTCATAAAGATGATATTAACATAAAGGATTTAATCGAAAGTATTGGGATTCAGTCCACTATTATCTTAGTTTATCTTACTAATAAATTTGGCAATGTTATCGGAAAGTTTTTTAGTAACTTCCAAATGTTCCATATCAATAGCTTCCATCTTTTCGAAATGTTGAGCCTGTTGAGATCTCATACTCTCCAATGTTTTCGTAATCTCTATCATAGGTTCATAATTGCCCGAGATATCGTTTTTATTTGGCCATTCAGCCAAAGGTGTCTTATTATTGTGAGATTTCATAGTAAAATTATTTAAAGACTGTTGCTCGTTCTCGTCATTGTTTTCATCCCGACTTGGTGTCGATGGTTCTACGGATTTTAAAAGTTCTTCCATTATTTTTGGTGATGAGGATACCAAGTTTTTACCATCGTTGCTCTGATGGTCTATCATTCTATTAACTTTGATCGAATTTTTATAGAAGCCGCACATTTTGGCAACAGCATCTTCATATTTGTTCAGATTGCCGGGGTTTTCTTTTTTAAGCTTTTTCTGAATACCCAGTTTCCAGGTACACCAAACCTGAATAATTATATGGATATTATGTAATATAATGACTTTTATTACAAAATTATGATAAGAACTTACTCTCTTCCACTGGTCCATACTTTTTGTTGGAGGTCCCGCCTCGTTTAATAGTGTCAGTAGCTCAGCCCACTTGTAGTTGTTGGATTCTTTGTTACCCTTCTTGTAACCTTTGGCCATAGTGAGGTTCTTTTTCATAAAATCAACGAGTATACTGTCCTGTGTTTTCGTTTTGCACGTCCGGCTAAATAAAACAGGATATTTGACTCAATTATTAAAATAAGGAAACTAAGAAGAAGCCCATAACTTATAATGAAAATCACCCTGGTCTGGAAGTTTTTTTCAAAAAAATTGTTTGATTGAAAAAAATTCAGGAATTCCATTTTCGCCCACAACCAAGTCCATATCTTGTTCAATTTTTATCCGATCCTTGGAAGGAATACCTTGAACGATTTGTAGTTCGATTCTCCTTCAATCTGCATCAAAACCTTACATCAAAAATTTCGATCCAGATTTTTCAAATTTTTCTGATGGAACCCCTTGCAAAATCCAGGATTTCCATTTTAGCCCCAAACCAAGTCCATATCTTGGCCAATTTCTATCCGATCCTTGGAAGGAATACCTTGAACGATTTGTAGTTCGATTCTCCTTCAATCTGCATCAAAATCTTACATCAAAAATTTCGATCCAGATTTTTCAAATTTTTCTGATGGAACCCCTTGCAAAATCCAGGATTTCCATTTTAGCCCCAAACCAAGTCCATATCTTGGCCAATTTCCATCCGATCCTTGGAAGGAATACCTTGAACGATTTGTAGTTCGATTCTCCTTCAATCTGCATCAAAACCTTACATCAAAAATTTCGATCCAGATTTTTCAAATTTTTCTGATGGAACCCCTTGCAAAATCCAGGATTTCCATTTTAGCCCCAAACCAAGTCCATATCTTGGCCAATTTCCATCCGATCCTTGGAAGGAATACCTTGAACGATTTGTAGTTCGATTCTCCTTCAATCTGCATCAAAACCTTACATCAAAAATTTCGATCCAGATTTTTCAAATTTTTCTGATGGAACCCCTTGCAAAATCCAGGATTTCCATTTTAGCCCCAAACCAAGTCCATATTTTGGCCAATTTCCATCCGATCCTTGGAAGGAATACCTTGAACGATTTGTAGTTCGATTCTCCTTCAATCTGCATCAAAACCTTACATCAAAAATTTCGATCCAGATTTTTCAAATTTTTCTGATGGAACCCCTTGCAAAATCCAGGGTTTCCATTTTAGCCCCAAACCAAGTCCATATCTTGGCCAATTTCCATCCGATCCTTGGAAGGAATACCTTGAACGATTTGTAGTTCGATTCTCCTTCAATCTGCATCAAAACCTTACATCAAAAATTTCGATCCAGATTTTTCAAATTTTTCTGATGGAACCCCTTGCAAAATCCAGGGTTTCCATTTTAGCCCCAAACCAAGTCCATATCTTGGCCAATTTCCATCCGATCCTTGGAAGGAATACCTTGAACGATTTGTAGTTCGATTCTCCTTCAATCTGCATCAAAGCCTTACATCAAAAATTTCGATCCAGATTTTTCAAATTTTTCTGATGGAACCCCTTGCAAAATCCAGGGTTTCCATTTTAGCCCCAAACCAAGTCCATATCTTGGCCAATTTCCATCCGATCCTTGGAAGGAATACCTTGAACGATTTGTAGTTTGATTCTCCTTCAATCTGCATCAAAACCTTACATCAAAAATTTCGATCCAGATTTTTCAAATTTTTCTGATGGAACCCCCTGCAAAATCCAGGATTTCCATTTTAGCCCCAAACCAAGTCCATATCTTAACCAATTTCCATCCGATCCTTGGAAGGAATACCTTGAACGATTTGTAGTTCGATTCTCCTTCAATCTGCATCAAAACCTTACATCAAAAATTTCGATCCAGATTTTTCAAATGTTTCTGATGGAACCCCTTGCAAAATCCAGGGTTTCCATTTTAGCCCCAAACCAAGTCCATATCTTGGCCAATTTCCATCCGATCCTTGGAAGGAATACCTTGAACGATTTGTAGTTTGATTCTCCTTCAATCTGCATCAAAACCTTACATCAAAAATTTCGATCCAGATTTTTCAAATTTTTCTGATGGAACCCCCTGCAAAATCCAGGATTTCCATTTTAGCCCCAAACCAAATCCATATTTTGGCCAATTTCCATCCGATCCTTGGAAGGAATACCTTGAACGATTTGTAGTTCGATTCTCCTTCAATCTGCATCAAAACCTTACATCAAAAATTTCGATCCAGATTTTTCAAATTTTTCTGATGGAACCCCTTGCAAAATCCAGGATTTCCATTTTAGCCCCAAACCAAGTCCATATCTTAACCAATTTCCATCCGATCCTTGGAAGGAATACCTTGAACGATTTGTAGTTCGATTCTCCTTCAATCTGCATCAAAACCTTACATCAAAAATTTCGATCCAGATTTTTCAAATGTTTCTGATGGAACCCCTTGCAAAATCCAGGATTTCCATTTTAGCCCCAAACCAAGTCCATATTTTGGCCAATTTCCATCCGATCCTTGGAAGGAATACCTTGAACGATTTGTAGTTCGATTCTCCTTCAATCTGCATTAAAACCTTACATCAAAAATTTCGATCCAGATTTTTCAAATTTTTCTGATGGAACCCCTTGCAAAATCCAGGATTTCCATTTTAGCCCCAAACCAAGTCTATATTTTGGCCAATTTCCATCCGATCCTTGGAAGGAATACCTTGAACGATTTGTAGTTCGATTCTCCTTCAATCTGCATCAAAACCTTACATCAAAAATTTCGATCCAGATTTTTCAAATTTTTCTGATGGAACCCCTTGCAAAATCCAGGGTTTCCATTTTAGCCCCAAACCAAGTCCATATCTTGGCCAATTTCCATCCGATCCTTGGAAGGAATACCTTGAACGATTTGTAGTTCGATTCTCCTTCAATCTGCATCAAAACCTTACATCAAAAATTTCGATCCAGATTTTTCAAATTTTTCTGATGGAACCCCTTGCAAAATCCAGGATTTCCATTTTAGCCCCAAACCAAGTCCATATCTTGGCCAATTTCTATCCGATCCTTGGAAGGAATACCTTGAACGATTTGTAGATCGATTCTCCTTCAATCTGCATCAAAACCTTACATCAAAAATTTCGATCCACATTTTTCAAATTTTTCAAATTTTTCTGATGGAACCCCTTGCAAAATCCAGGATTTCCATTTTAGCCCCAAACCAAGTCCATATCTTGGCCAATTTCCATCCGATCCTTGGAAGGAATACCTTGAACGATTTGTAGTTCGATCCTCCTTCAATCTGCATCAAAACCTTAAATCAAAAATTTCGATCCAGATTTTTCAAATTTTTCTGATGGAACCCCTTTCAAGGATTTCCATTTTAGCCCCAAACCAAGTCCATATCTTGGCCAATTTTCATCCGATCCTTGGAAGGAATACCTTGAACGATTTGTAGTTCGATTCTCCTTCAATCTGCATCAAAACCTTACATCAAAAATTTCGATCCAGATTTTTCAAATTTTTCTGATGGAACCCCTTGCAAAATCCAGGATTTCCATTTTAGCCCCAAACCAAGTCCATATCTTGGCCAATTTCCATCCGATCCTTGGAAGGAATACCTTGAACGATTTGTAGTTCGATTCTCCTTCAATCTGCATCAAAACCTTACATCAAAAATTTCGATCCAGATTTTTCAAATTTTTCTGATGGAACCCCTTGCAAAATCCAGGATTTCCATTTTAGCCCCAAACCAAGTCCATATCTTGGCCAATTTTCATCCGATCCTTGGAAGGAATACCTTAAACGATTTGTAGTTCGATTTTCCTTCAATCTGCATCAAAACCTTACATCAAAAATTTCGATCCAGATTTTTCAAATTTTTCTGATGGAACCCCTTGCAAAATCCAGGATTTCCATTTTAGCCCCGCTCGAAGTCCATATCTTGGCCAATTTCGATATAATCCTCAATCCTCAATACTCCCCATCAATAAGCACTATCTACCAACAAGGTATTTATTTTAATTTGTAAAGGCTCTTCATTGTCTTTGCCAAAATCCAGATTCTTAAGTAGATTGACTTGTGAATTTATTCTCTTCTAAACGACCAATTGTTTGTTACATTCTGTGATACGTAAGTTTTGTTTTGTGGTAATTTTTTTTTTTTTTTTAAGTATACTCACATGTTTACCTGAGAAGTAGTATTATCGCCCATATTTAAAGTCTAAAATTAGATAAAAAAATAATATGTTTAACTTTAATCTTAAAACCATTTTCTAGGTTGATTAAAACACACATTTATTAAAATAAAAACAAATTTAATAAATATTTAGAGTGGTATTGTTGTAAGGAAATAAAAAAATTTACTTGACAGTAAAAAAAAGTAAAATGTACAAAAGCTTTTCTACATGATGTAGGCTAGGTATCGGCGGTGCTCCAATCCACCGTTCTAAACCACAGATCCACGCGTGCGCAGGCGCCGAAAGACAAACAGAGCCGTGGAGAGAGCGTGGGGTAATGGGGGGGCGCGAAAAGGGGGAGCAAGCCACCCTTTGCCGCGACGGAGAGCATACAAACTCAGTCCGTCCGTCGATCCACACGACACATAGCTGATTGCCGTCGCCCGTTGAGGTTGTACTACAGCAGCAGCAGCAGCCGTAGCAGAGGCAGAGGCAGAGCTGAGGTTAACCGAATGCCACGCCAGGTGAGAGGGCGAGATGGGGGGCGAGCAGCAGAATGACGACGGAGTCTGTGTGGCAGCGACACGGCGAATTCAATCGTGGTACATGCACAACTATCTTACGAATGCCACACGGGAAAAAATATTTTATTTTTAAAAGACACAAAATCCAGTGATTTAATATCTAATTTAATATCCTTAAAATTTATATTTTAAATTTTAAAATAATAAATATGGGTCTCAGTAATTTTATTAAGTTTTTATAATTTTTTGCCGTGCAGTTTCTCGGCATGCGGCGTTCTCCATATCTTTACCTTGCTCCCCCATCAGTCTCTCACCTTTTCTCGCTCTCTCCCCTGTTAGCTGTGTGTGTGTGTGTGTGTTTCTCTACCTGATGCCCGATTGCACTACCACTTTCACAAGGCTTACAAGCCAAATGGCAACTACAGCAAAAACAACAACAACAAAAAAGAGCAACAACAAGGCAGAAAAATTTCGCGATTTCGAATTCGCGAAATGGGCAGCGAACTCGAATTTTCGAGAATGAATGCAATGCCACAGAAATGAACATCGTCCGAAACCGAAACCGATCCGAAACGGCGTCAGATACAAAGTAAGATCAGGAGCGGTTTAAATCGAGCGAGGGTAGCGCCATCCCGCTCCATCCCGCCTGCTCGCACATGTGCAAGTGCATGCTGAAAAGAAGGTTCGTTGCCTAAGTCTTTCGTACCTGCCTCTGTTTTTATTTTTTTGTTCACGGGCTCTGCAGGTGCACCAACACACATACACCTATAGAAAAGGGTACGGGGCTCAAGTGGACACTACCTGTTGATACCTGTGTCTGTTTGGGAGTGTGTGTTTGGGAGTGTAGAGACAACATCATCGATTCGAATGAATTTGAGTGCCAGCGTCGCTGCTCCGCTCGCTCAATATCAGTTACGAAAGAGATGAAACCATAAAAAGCAATAATAATCGAGCTAGCGGCCTGCACACACTCACAACGTTTCGGTGCTCTCTCACCTGCGAGCAGCACACGGATAGCACCTTGCCACCAATACAGGTAACCGTCTGGGCATAACGGCGTCGGCGTCAAAGCCAACTGAGACGGTGGCAGCGCAACAGCAACAGCAGCAGCAGCAGCACCAGCCGCAGCAGCAGCACCACATTCAACAGTTGAACAATCTCCAATTGACTCTTTGGGCATTATAGCCGAGAGCCGAGCTCCAGCGACAGCGACGACAAGTTTTCCGCGCACACGGAAAGTCAGAAAGTCAAAATACATATCTTACCTTACCATACCCCCTCCCTAATCTCTGTTTGAAAGTGCATTTGTTTATATCGAATTAATGAATCGGTTAACGGATTTTTAGAAAATCGCGCGTGTCCAATGGCGAAAATAAAAAACAAACATCAGCTAAAAAGTCGCGCTTAAACTTTTTCGAAATTAAATAAAACACACACACACACACTCAGACACAGCACACTCACGAATTTCAGCCACGAAGAGGAAGAGAAGGCTGAAAAAAGCGAAAAACGTGTATCTGTGTGTGCGGGTATCTCAGAGAGCGTGTGTGTCCGTGTTCGTATCGGTGTCAGTGTGTGCGTGCTTGTGATATTGGTGTGTGCGTGTAAGCTGGAATGAGACGCCATCAAAGCTGAGCTAAAGCGAAGGCAACCGCAACAGCGAATAATAAAATTCAAAATAAAAATAGTGATTAATAACAGCAGCCAGAACAAGCAGCAACAACAAAACTAGTGCGGGAAAGCGCGTGAATACAAAAGATACAAAAGTGAGAAATCTAACCAAACCAACACACATATACATACATATATAAAAAAAAAAAAAAAAATACGCAAATGCCATTCGAACCGCCCCCGCACCGCCCCGCCCTGCTTTCGCCCCCCAATTTCGCGCCCATTTGTGAACAACAGCAACAACAAAAGTAATATTTTGTTCAAACAACAGCAACAACAACAATAAACAGCAAAATGTTTTGGACCATACAACGTGATTTTTAAGCCAAAATGCACAAAACGCCAACAACAACAACAACAAAGGCAACACCACTAACAACGAAAACAAAAAATTCAAAATCAAAATCAAAAGCAACAACAGCAAGAGCTCCACATACCACAGCGAGTGGCATATTAGAAGCAGCCGAAAGCAGCCAGCCAAGAGCATTGTGTAAGCCATAGGCACTGAGAGCCAGGCTTAAAGCCCCCAGACGCACACCACCACCACCACCACCAACAACAAGATCACAAAGAGTGGCGAAAGGTGCACCCACCAGCAGCCGCCAAGCCAAGAAACCAACAGTAACTGCAGCCACATTTCAGTGGGTACTCCAAGAGCTCCAAACTCCATACTCCACAACACATCATACTCCATACTCCAGACTCCAGACTACCGTCTACAGACTCCGGACTTCAGTTCCAGTTCGACGTTTCAGTTCGAGTGCCATAGATCCTCACCCAAGTGCCAAAATCCGTATCCTGATCCCGAGCTCAAGGCACCCGTCACATTATGGACAGCGGCCCAAAAGTGAGTACCCGTAACCATATAGCCATATAGCCATATAGCCGTACCGAGAAGTAATTATAAACGCATCAGTTGTAGCCCTGGTTTGGTTCGGTTAGGGATTACACTTGGCGAAAACGTGACCTTTTTTGTTAATTAAGGCGGTTACTTATGGATATGGGCTTAGGCGATGGAAGACCCACAGGTAGAATACTAGAGAGCCAGGGAAAAGCATGACTTTAGAAGTGTTATAGGATTTTGGCTAATACTTGAGGGATTTCAGAATGTTGGGCTTAAAGGGGATAGAAAACAGAATTTTTAAAACCAAACTAATATCAAATATTATGAAATATCGTAAAAGTTATTTTATGAATTTATTATTCATTAATTAACAAAAGTTTCTTACGGCGTAGCTTTAATTTCGTTAATGAACTAATGGCCTAAAAGGTAACAAAATAAATAGATATTTAATGGTTTTATTGCCGTGTATATGAGACACCCTGTATTTATTGTGCAGACGTATGAAGTTTTAGTCGCGGTCGCAGCCTCAGTTTCTTAGTTTCAGACTCTCCAGTCTCAGTCTCAATATCTGTTATTGTTGTTGCTTTTGGCTGTAGATGATGGATATTTTGTTGTTGTTGTTGCTGGTGGTGGTAGTATCTTTCGCGCACACATTCCTCTTTGTTTGGTTTTATTTTCGAAGTCGCCGCTGCGCAGCAGCAGAAGTAGCAGTAGTAGCAGCAGCGGCAGGTAAAACGTAAAGGTATTGGTGTTGCCAACAATGCGCAAGAGACGTTAAGAAGCAGAGAGTCAGAGAGGGTGGACAGGGAGAGCTAGTGCTGCACAGAGTGGGAGCGAAAAGGGATCAAAAGGTGTTTTTTTTGTGCCTCTCAAGACATCAGACGCCTCTGCCGTCTCTGCCGCAGTCACCGCCACAGTCGCTGTCGCAGTCGCTAATGCTGCCGCTGCCGCAGTCGGCGTCGCTGCCTTCTTGTTCGAAAATCGATGATGTTGCCCAGTGTTTCTGATTACGTTTCCCCTGGACTTCAAATATTGTTACCTTTTGGCCGTGGTTCTCGGCTTCTTTTTTTTTTATTATGATTTTTATTTTTATTTTTCTTTTGATTCTTTTTTTTTTTTTGTTATTTTGTTGTTGTTGTATCTCTCCTGCCTCTGAAAATGATGGTGATCAATTGGGGGCTGCGATTATGGTACAGTAAAATGAACATCTACGCAGCGTTCGTATACCGCGTATACCGATACAAAGATACACGGCATGGTATCCGTGAGATACACACAACGACAGGGCCACATGTAACCCACACACTAAAAACAACAAAACCAAAAACAACATGAATAAAAGTAAGCTGAAAAAAGGGGGAACTTCGTGAGAGAGTTATTTTATTTTCGTGTTCGTGTTAACGTTTATTGTTTTTCTTTTCTTTTGCCTTTCTTCGTTTCTTTGGGCCTTCTTGACTCCAGAGTCTTTGGCTCTCAGTTGCAGCAGCAGCACCAGCACCATCAGCAGCAGTACCTCCAGTTCCCTCACCCTCCCACAGCTATCTTGGCCACCTTTATTCGCCTTAACAATTCCATTCCCATTCCCATCTACACGAAAAACAAATAGGGTTTAGGTTTTCTGATTAAAATAATACATAGTATTATTTATTAATAATTATAATTTTCTAAGAACTTTTGAAAGCCATATTATTAGCCATATTAATATTTCATTTAAGAATTCCTTAATTCTTTAGACCTCTTTAATTTTGCTTAGTGTACCATCTACCGATTCCCAGTCTCAGTCTTTGGTTATTGATGCCCAACAACTCTGACCGTTGATGTCTTAGGGTTCATACCGACTCTCTTGTCTTTCCTCCACCATTCTCCCCAGGAAAGGTATAGAGAGACGTAAAAACCAAATTTCAAATTATGTCAAATCTTAATGGGATTTGAAATGGAATTGCTTTTGGTATTCACTCGGTATCTAAGATCGTTTTGGAGGTGGGGGGCGTTGGGCGAGGGGATATAATACCGACACACATCCATAGATCATGTCGTAGGCGTTGTCGGTGTGCAAAGGTTAGATCTGGGGTTTATGTTTACATTCGATACTATCTGAGAGAATAGGTGTAATTGGCTTAGAAAGGGTTACAATATGGCAGTGGTAGTGTGTGTGTTGGGAAAAGACTCGGAAATATAAATTCGAATTATTTTCTTAATAAATTTTTATTTAAATTCTAAACAAAAGCGATTTCTCAAGGAATTCCACTTGAGAAAAAAAGTTATCAAGGTGCTTTATCTCATAAATATGCAAATCGCTTTCACTGCCAAAGATTTCCTCGTTCTGATCTAGACTTTGCTTCAAGCTTTAAATCATTCACTGAACTTGAGTTCCGATTTAGTGTTTAGCCAATCGATAGAGTAATTGCTATCTAATTTCCTACTATATTTCACGCCTTCTATTCAAGACCTGTTTCTAACATTAAATAACTGTAAATCTTATAGAGTTATATTACCTCGATGTGGGGGAGTAATTGGCTTAAATAGTTGAGTGTTTATGTCATAAGTCTACAATAGTTTTTATTGGATTTATTTTTATAGAAGTTTATGCTTTAATATCAATTTATAGATTTCTTTTTAATTATCGTTATTTATTTCTTAAATCAAGATACATAGATAGTTGCAAAAGAAAGCTTCTTGAATTCTTTGAGATTAATTGGGATTATCTTCTCCACATCGCCTGCCTTTTGAGGGCATATCCGCCGATCTTCTGACATCAGACCAAGTTCGTTTCTTTGCCAATCTTTCTTTGGCACCCACCGACATGTATGAGTTATTGGCCTTAGCCAGAATCCATCTATCAGCGACTTGGTTGCCGGCCACCTCCATTCAAGCGGCAAGTTGGAAAGTTGGTGCGGGCTTGCTGAGTGCTGGGTGCTGGGGGTCTGGGGTCTGGCCCCGAGGGTCCATGGATCGTCGTCATATCTGGCCATGGCTGACCCAGTTTAATGCCATTCCGGGGTGTTGATGTTGGTTTAATTGTTTCCTAATTGCCTTTCGACTTTCTACGCAATCCGATCTTGATTGGCTTTTAGAATTCGATTCGAGTGCGTTGTACTGATGCCAAAAAAAAAAAATAAAAATGTAAAAAAAAAAAAAAACTAGTCTAAAAAGCACACACCACCGCATGACACTGACCTCACCTACTAACGGAACCCGCAGACCGGGCACGAGGAGCCGAGAGTCGTGAACTCGCCGGCTTGGGCTGACAAAACGAGTTTATCCACATCCACATCCACATCCCAGTACCAGCAACCAGCAACATCACTAGCAACAGCAGCAACACCAGTGAACTCTGCAGCAAGAGCTGCGATTTTTTGGCTTTATCATCAAACAACAATACCGGGGAGACTGGACCTGTACTGGACCTGAAGCTGAACCTGGATCTGAACCTGAACCTGGGCAAGCTTTGGAGGAACCAGAAAGTCAGCCTTCTGGATTAGGTCAAGGATTGAGCTTGTTGTTGTTGTTGTTGTTTTTGGGCTACCGGTGCGAATACGAGTACCTGTTCTCAACTTGTTGTTGCTGTCGATGCTGATGCTAAAGCTGATGTTGTTTTGTTTGGTTCGGTTCAGTTTCAGTTTCGGTTTCGGTTTCAAAATCCCTCATAAACATGTTTTTGCTGTCGGTGTCGGTGTCGCTGTTGCTGTTGCTGCCACTGGCACTGCCGCAGATAAAACTAAGTCGGAGATTCTGGACTATTAACAGCTGATGGACTGACTGGTTTGTGAGCAGTATGGTAGTACTGTGTGTTTAATTTCACACAAAGCACCGTTGTAAACAAAACACACAGCACACAAATATGGCAGTGCTGTCGGCGTCGACGCTAGCCGTCGACAGCGAAGCCAACAGCGACGCTTCTTCCACCTGTTGTTGCCGCCGCCAATGCCGCCTCTTATTTGTTGTTGTTGTTGCTATAGTTGTTGTTTTGGTGTTTTGTTGATGTGATGAACCGCGTTGAGTTATGCAGTTACACGTTTGACATTTGCGAAGGAGTCAAACTAGTTCGACGGGCACGTGTGCAGGCCAACTCACCTCACCTCAGCACGGTTTATTTTTGTTTTTTTTCTTTTTCTTTTTTATTTTGTTTTGTATTTTTTTTTGTTTGCCCCTTTCCGCCTTTTGTTTGTTTGTTTGTTGGCTGGCTGGCTGCTCTGTTTGTTGGCCTGCCTCTCAGCTTGCAAATCGCTCAGCCACATCGGCTCATCCGCCCGCCGACGTTTGAACCCGTTCCTCAAAGACTACCGTTTAGGTTTTTGGCTTAAAGGGGGGTGGTTGGTTGTCTCCCTCTGAGTGTGTGTGTGTTTGGCGGGGTGGGGGACAGCAGGGCGCCAAGCAGACTGTCGCCAGACATTGCCACTTTTCATTAGTTGCTTCCAAAGCATGGGTATATTGGCCAAAAGGTTGAAGATTTTAAGACGATTTAATTCCTAGAGAAATTCTTTTCACAACTTAGTGACTATTCCGACACCTTTTGTTAGCCAAACTAGGTTAGATCTTGATCTTTTCTTTCCCATGATGAACTAATTATGACCATTGTTTGTATAATTGCAGCTGAGCTGAGAACGAAACGAAGGAAGTTCCTTAGTGCCATAGAATGCAGTAATTGAAACAACGACAACAATAACCACAAAGAACAACCAACCGGAACAGAAACTACAAAAAAACATCATCAGAATCAGAAACAGAAAAGAACAACAAAGTGCCTTCCATCAATCCATCGTTGATAAGTGATATTTATTATGTTTATACTTGCCAGAAAAAGCAATAACAACAGCAACTGCAACAGGAACAACTACCGATCGGGATTCAAATGATCAGTCCACGACCAAGTCCTAGACCCGATCGAAAACCTCCGACAAGTGCAATCCCGAATCCAGTTCAAATTAGTCCAGTACAGTACGTATAATGTCCACATCCGCCGCCACAACGAGCGTCATAACGTCCAACGAGCTCTCGCTGTCCGCCCACGGCCACGCTCACGGTCACGGCCACGCCCACCAGCTGCATCAGCATCCACACAGCCGTCTAGGAGTCGGCGTAGGAGTTGGCATCCTTAGCGACGCCTCACTGTCACCCATCCAGCAGGGAAGCGGAGGAGGCGGAGGCGGTGGGAATAACAACAATACCTCACCACTGGCGCCCAACGGAGTACCACTCCTAACCACGATGCACCGCTCCCCGGACTCACCACAGCCGGAGCTGGCCACCATGACGAATGTGAATGTCCTGGACCTGCACACCGACAACTCTAAGCTCTACGACAAGGAGGCTGTCTTCATCTACGAAACGCCCAAGGTGGTAATGCCATCGGACGGGGGCGGTGGGGCGGGAGGCGGTGGTGCTGGAGGTCCGCCGGACGAAGGCCATGCCATTGATGCCAGGATTGCGGCCCAACTGGGCCAAAACTCTAACCAGCAGCAACACCAAGCTGAGCACCAGCCGCTGGCCAAGATCGAGTTCGACGAGAACCAGATCATCCGGGTGGTGGGGCCCAACGGCGAGCAGCAGCAGATCATCTCGCGGGAGATCATCAACGGCGAGCACCACATCCTGTCCCGCAACGAGGCTGGCGAGCACATCCTGACCCGCATCGTGAGCGATCCCTCCAAGCTGATGCCCAACGACAATGCGGTGGCCACCGCCATGTACAACCAGGCCCAGAAGATGAACAACGATCACGGCCAGTCCGTCTACCAAACGTCCCCCTTGCCCCTGGACGCCTCTGTGCTGCACTACAGCGGTGGCAACGACTCCAATGTGATCAAGACCGAGGCGGACATCTACGAGGATCACAAGAAGGCTGCTGCGGCAGCCGCTGCCGCCGGCGGAGGATCTATCATCTACACCACCACCGATCCGAATGGCGTCAATGTCAATGTCAAGCAGTTGCCCCATCTGGCGGTGCCGCAGAAACTCGACCCCGACCTGTACCAGGCGGACAAGCACATCGACCTGATCTACAACGACGGCAGCAAAACGGTCATATACTCCACCACCGACCAGAAGGGCCTGGAGATCTACTCCGGCGGCGACATTGGCAGCCTCGTCTCCGACGGTCAAGTGGTGGTTCAGGCCGGACTTCCCTATGCCACCGCCACGGGTACCGGAGGACAGCCGGTGTACATTGTCGCCGACGGTGCCCTGCCTGCGGGGGTCGAAGAGCATTTGCAGAGGTGAGTAATCGTTAACAGTAATTGGCCACAAGGGGCGTAGATTATAATGAAGGGTTAGCTGTTCGAAGGGGTTAGCCACTGGGCCAAGTGGCTTGAGCAGAGAGCTGTGCTCCTTAATTAATGGCCTAATTGGGGGTAGGAGGGCTGCCCTAATAGGGTCACTAACAAAACTTTAAAACTATATTAATTGGAATCTAGGGGTTATAGCTTTTATAGTCTTAAGTATTTAATATTCTGAATAAGGGGTTTCAAGGATCTAAGGTCTGAGGTTTAATCTGTTGGCCCCTTTGCTTTAAAACTTGAAACCTCCAAAGATGGCTGACAAAGTAGCCACAACCAACTGAAATCTTGAAAGATACAAATAAGTCACCGCTACTAATGGCTTTAGTTTTGGTTGAAAAAAAAAAAGAAAATCTATTATCTAAAGATGTCGGAAAGTACCGGATAACATCCTTTAGCCCACTCGGCTATTCATTGAGTTCTGTTCTATCGGCAACATAAATCTCGACTAATTGCCTTCGTCATGGCCGCCAGTTGCAGCTCCGGCTGCCGCATCAGAGTTGGTTACCACATCAACATCTTAATTGGGGACACGGGGCTGCAGTTTTAGTTTCAATTCGTTTCCAGGCCCGGCTCCCGGCTCCCGGCCAGTCTTTGGTGTCTTGGGTCCTTTAAAATCAATGTTTGTCATTTGCATTTCTCATGCATTTGAATTAACCGCTCTTGCCGCGCGCATTTTACTGTTAATTATTGCGATAGGCCAACCGGCAAACAGCAGTGGCAGCGGCAGCCGCATGCAGCATGCAGCATACAGCATACAGCAGCAACATGCAGCAGCAACGTGCAACAGCAGCAGCAACGCCAGCGCATTCTGGTATTCCCCATTCCATTACCCAAACATTGAGTTCAGGCCGAAGTCCTCAGCCTCAGCCTCATCCCCAATCCCCAATCCCCATACTCGATTCCCCCCAGTGGAATGACAGCTTCCGTTGTAACTGTTTCTTATATACGTTATTGCTGCCCCTGCAACAGCAACAGCAACTTTGGCATTCTGGCGTGCATCGAATGTGCAAGTAGGCGAGCTAATAACACCCAGATCCAGCACCAGCACCAGCACCAGCACCAACTCCAGTCCCGGCATCGAAACCCATGGCCATACTATACGGATGTCTGTCCCCACACAGCCTCCTCAATTCCTGCCTGCCTGGCAATTCATTTTAGAGCAGTCGCCAGTGGTATGCGATGGTAATAAAAATTTGAATATAAATTAATCTAATAGAGAACCGTTAGCGAGGTGAGATGCAAGCGCAGCCTCCTTGAGCAAGGTGCCGCCTCGGACCGGCAACTAAGTCATCGTCATCTGCATGGAATGGTCGTTGTTGCAACACTACACTGTGGGAAAAAAGAGGTTCAGATGGATGCAGGGATGTGGGAAGATCCCAAAAGAGATGGAAAATACTTCTCCCAGTGTCGATGGCCACTCGGACATCTGCAACGCCATCGCATCTGCATCTGCAGCACCACCAACGGTCGCCTCCCCAGCCTCCTTCTTGGCCATTTCCAACTCCTTCAGTTCTTCTGGCCGGGCCTGCCTCGTTCGTATTCTTATTCTTCTAATGCCAACGTCTCATCCTGTTATAGCGGAGGCAGCCACACAGCCATACAGCCTTTGCAGCCACAGCGTGCTGTTGCTGCAACATCGCTGTGGTACGTTGGGTCCAGCGTGCATGTTGCATGCGCGGCAAGGTCCATAAATAACGACAAAATTGCGTTTCCGCATATGGACCGAGCAAACGTCGTCTTCGATTCGGACTTTGGTTTAGGCCTGGCTTTTGGTTTTGGCTTTGGACTCGGCATTGGCATGCCGTTGTTGTTAAAGATGCTTCTGCTGCTGGACCTTGCGTGATGTCTCTTGGTCTTGGCCTCGCACTCTCGGTCTCTGTCTTGGCCTCGCTTGATGTACAGTTTGTTTCTTTTAACATTTTTTTTTTATTTGTATTTTTTCTGGGCCCCCTGATAAGCAGGACATGTCCATGTCTACGTCTGCAGCCCAAAAGTGTTCGCCTTGCCACGTTTTCATTAAAGTCAAATTAAAGCGGATCCGGGCCGAGAGATGGAGCTCTGCCATTGGACCCATGGTGTATAAATAAGGCCCGATGACCTTTGTTTCGAGCCATCCTTTCCATTGTGTCTGTCTGTCTGACTGTCACCGCATAACATATCCCTTTACGGCGTCTTAATTTACACTGTCCAGCAGGGTCTGACTTTGCAACATCGAAGCTTAAAAAAGCTTCTCTGCAAAAGCTTCGTTTTATTGTTTAATTTTAAAAACTAAACATTTTATTCACTATGTGTATACATTTAGTGAAAATATAAAACATATATATAGTTACACTTGGCTAAAAATCGGGAGCTTAAAGCTCCACTAAATAAAATGCCAAGGCAAAAGCTCCAACCATCCAGCAATTGCATTTGCAAATTGCAGCCTCGGCCAAAGTGGCTTATAAAGTTTTTACGATCTCCCCCCACCCTCCCCGAAATCAGACAGATTATTCGGCTGGGCTGAGTGCAAAGCAATGTAGGATTTTTATAATTTTACAATTCTTGCCATTTGGTAGTAAAATTGTTTTATTGTTTATGCATTTTTCCGTTATTTAACCACACGATAGTTATGCAACCGCACCCCGAGCATCATCGGGAATAATTTTCCTTAATTGACGATTCAAAATGTTTTATTGTATAACGAATTTCGGAAAAATTAAAAGAAAAGCAATTGTCTGATTTGTCGATGCTATAAAATATGTTAATACGGGGGAATATTTTCATAAACATTTTATTTTAATATTTATGGCCAGTTAAAAGATGTTAAGCTTTAAAACATATTTCATTATTTTAATGATTGTTATTAAAATCAAACCCAGTCGGTGTCCAATTCACAAATGAGACGTCACATGATAGAAAGACCACAGCACAAATTTGCATTTCCTTTCTTATACAAATTACCCTTTGACATTTAATAAAGTTATTAATAGAATCACCTACGTAAATTTAAATACAAATTCGTATTCGTATTCGAGCCAAGCTTCGAGTGCAATAATATTTGATGGCCGTGAAATAAATTAATAATAATTAATGACAATATCTTTTCTTTCAAAATTCAAACTTTGACATTTCGCCTGGCTGGATATCGACTAAAGTTCCCCCAATATGTACATATATCTGATCTGGGATGAGATTTTTGTTGGCTAGTGCAGGGACTGTTTTCCTTATTGCGATGCGGAAACCCCACAAAATGAGTGCGAAATGAATGCATTTTGTGAAATTTCCATACACAAGGATAACCTTCGCCATAGCCTTCTGATCGAAGTGTTCGCGGTTAATGCTCATGTCACACGCACTCACACTCTGTCATTTCTTACACACACACACACCTCCATATAATATACCCACACATCTTATATAGCGGCTCTTACTTTCACTTTACCCGATCATATTAAATTTCTGAGCTGTAAAACATATTTTTGCTCGTTTTTTTCTTTTGGTTTTTTCCCCATTTTGTTTTTTAGTTCGTCGTTACTCCTTTATTTTATTTTAATTTAAGCATTTATTTTAGTGAGAGGTGGGGTGGGTATACAGGGTACAGTGGGGCTCAACGAAATAGCGACACTTTGAGTGTCTCTTATCGGGCTGATAGAAAGAACGCCGCCATAGCTGTCTCTCGGCTCACGAATCTCGGCATCCAAGTCCGAGTCCCCGGACACAGCCCCAATAGCTCCCCTTTTCTGCGTCACTCCATCTTATCCCCTTGATTGACAATATTTCAATATTTTTACTGTTGTCGCCGTTTCACAGCCTCCGGGGCTGTGCAGGGGGCTGGGTGGGACAGATACAAATCCCAAGTCACTGTCACGCATGCGCTTGCAAATGGAGCACTTCAATACTCTAACTTGGGTGTGGGGTATATTAGTTAAATGATGGTTTTTATGAGTTAATATTTTGAAAGTTTAAAATATTAATTCTTAGGTAATATTTTAGGAGTTGATATGGAAGAATTTAAGAACAGGACATTTGTTGATTCTAAAGTCTGCATTTTTCCATTTCTTTCAGAGTTTTTAAGATAATTAGAGTCAGATTTTTGAGTTCTAGCAATGATCCCACTTTGTTTTTAAAATAAATCTAAGTTATTTAATTTTTTTAATGCCTAAAAAATTTGTAAGTGAATTTAAAACCCCAATGCAACCCCCAATAAAAATATCTCTAAAAATAAGAGCATTTCCTAGTCGTCTAGGTAATCAATGCAATTTTCTAGTCGTTGTTATTGCTTTTTGTTTCTTGCTTCTCATTTTATTATTATTAATATTAAAAGGTGCAACAGCGTTTGGACATTTTGATACAAAAACAAACCTGTTCACCTGCGCAGTCTACCTGCAGCGGTAGAGCGGGATGGAGATGTCGTGTGACAAAGACAGAGCCAAGCATCCAAGCATTGGGGTGTGAGTGAGAGGGAGAAGGAGATGGGGACGACGGACGTTGAGGAGACAAGAAAGAAACATGTTAACACAATTCAGAGTCTCATACGCTTTCGACTGTCCCCCCAGTGTTGTTCTTGTTGTTTTAATTTTTTCTTGTTGTTTTTGTTGTTGTTATTATTGTTGTATTTGTTGTTCTTTTTGTTGTTGTTGTTATTTTAGTCTCTCGCTCCACTCAAAAACTCTGAATTGGCGCTACAAGTTTATCGAACGCTCAAAGTGGTTTTCAGTTGATATCGAAAAGCCACAAGGTCGACAACAGCATCAAGTTTATATGTACATATGTATGTCTATACATAAGCATACTTACATATAGCATTATTTGTTTATATGTACAATTTGTTGTTATTGTTTTTGTTTCTTTGGAAATCATTCAAAGAACGGCAAGAACTTTTGACTCGCGATCGCGCGTAATCGGCTTATAGTCCGCCAAGTATCTGCGTATCTTTGTATCTCAAAGTGTGTATAGTG